ACCATTAGTGAAAAGGCCAGACTTCAGGGGTATCTGAGGCAGGCTTGGAACACAAGAGTCAGGGTGGCTTCTGGGTAATACCAGATGGCTAGGCCTCAGACCGACGAAGCCTCTTGGATGAGGGGCGAAACGTTTCTTTTTAACAAAAAAACGAAGTCCAGATGACATGATTCAACCTTTTTTGTTGTTATATACCTGGATAACTGAGAAAACAAACTTTAATATAATCTTAACTTAGAATTTAAGTTCTAATAATTTTATTAGAACAAAGTCTTTCTGGTCCCTGCAGATTACACCCCGTTTGATAACGCCAAAGAAGTCAACAACATAAATTATGCTGGGAATCTCGTAGCAGAGCGGAAAAACGTATCTAAAAGTCTTCTGCAGTGCAGCTTTGTGTTCTGGGTGATTTCCAAGCTGCAGCTCCGTGGCTGACCACAGGAAGTTTTAATCAGCGGTATGGTGTTGCTGCTTCCCTTTCCCCTGGTGACCTCCTCCCCATCTCTCGCCTCCACAATAGAGATACTGGGATCACATTACCGACTCTGAGGGTTAAAGGTCAATCCCATTTTTCAGCTCTCTACGTCCCTTTCCCACTCGCAGACTCTTTCCCAGGGGTTAAAGCCTCCTGTCACCTAAATTCACATCAGTTCACGCGTGGCAAGGGAGTGGTATCCATCGGAAACCCTCTAACTTATCTCACACACGTTCTCTCCCCTTTCTCCCTTCACCCACACACCCATTTCAGCGTCCCTTTGAAAGGCAGACCTCTGATCTCAGAGCACACTTGCACAAAGAAGTGGACATAACAACATGTTTTAAACCCTCCGTGCCATTGTTCAGATGCATTTGGTAAATTCCGTATTTTAGTTCTGCTGAGGATCAAGTAAATGGGAGGTTTTACTGAGCCTCTGATCGCCACCTGCATGAAAGTAAAACTGAACTAAATTACTGAGAAGTACAGGAGATATTCTGCTTCTAAAGGCTACAGAGACCATAAATAAAATACAGTAGTCCCTCGCTATGTCGCGGTTCGTTTATCGCGGACTCGCTCTATCGTGGTTTTTCAAAATAAGATTGGACATGACACACAATTGGCTGATTGATGGATGAGTTGCACAATCCGCATGGATTTGTTACTTAAAATAAATAATTGTAATTATTTAGCACCTGCTGCACCTGTGTGCAGCCCAGAGCTGCAGGATAAGCTTCCTCCTGCAGCTGAGCAGTAGCAAGTTTTCAAACCAGTCTGATGGCATGGGGGTGAATTAGTGCCTCTGGCATGGGCAGCTTACACATCTGGAAACGTACGGTTAATGCAGAAATGTATACACAGTTTTGAAAACATGCTCTCATCAAACAAACAAAACTCCAACAAAAAGCTAGGAATGTTGAACTAGAATCTCACATCAGAAAAGAATGGGACAATTACATTTTACACAACTTATTCAGAAATAGAGTTAGTAACACACACACACACACATATGTACGTATATATATATATATATATATA